GTGTGAGAGATTGAGATAAACATAAAGAAAGCATTGTAGAGTCGACACGAAAGTGATATTCGACTTCCTTTATTATGTCAAGAAACACCCCAAACCAACATATATCTCATATGAGATATGGGATGCATGGCATAAGGAATGGGCAAAACCCGAGTCGTATGCCCAATCCGAAGTCGGTAGCCTAGAATCACAAGAGCGAAATGGGTGGAATCAAAGCTAGCCCATCTAGACATATGAGGGGTTCAATCATGTGCGGGGAGTACGCAATACGTATCATAATCTTATTTTATATATATATATATATATATATATATATTACAATTATAGCAACCTCGGTAAATATTTAAGTATATTTGTTTTAGTAGAATGAGTTGGATTGTGAACTCGATACTCATAAGGTTTTCTTGAGGATTCATAGGAAGAAAGTTAATGATAAGTATGTATTCATCGATCAACGAACAAGAATTCTTAAAGTAAATAATTTATAAGGTTATTTTATGCGTATCTTACTTTTATATAACTTATTGAGATAATTATTTAATATTAAAATTTGTATAATTATGTAGGAGATCGTCGAAAAAATATTTGAGGAGGAGGTTGCTAATTGGGATATGAATGGTACTCCATCGCCCGACATCTTCATGAACGAGATTTTTAAGAAAGATGTTGAAGGAAAAGATAGTAAGAGAAAGAGGATGTACGGACTTAGGTCACCGGCCTCTCACTATTACTCTAATGTTAGTACATAAAATCTAGTTCGTCCATATCGCGATTCCATGTCTATATTGATGTACAACGAAAAGAAATAGAGGCTTATTCTTTTAGACAAGCAGAAAAGATCAAGAAACTAGAGCGTATCGTTACATCGCTCCTAACTACTACAAATCGGTTAGAGCGAGTATACTCGGGAGCGACATGTGATGATGTTGTAGATGCGATAGATGTTGTTGAATATGTAAAGAAGTAGTGTATCCACCAATCCTCCGACCGACCATCATGTGTTCTATTAAAATGATGATATGTCACAACATGTAATCCCCTTCATCGTAATATGATTTTTTATTGCTTTTATGTTTTCTTTTTTTCTGAAATATAAATAAACTTTAAAATAATTTGATGTTTGAATATATATATTTCATTTTATTGAATTTATATATTATAAAGGTTTCGTACTATTTATAAATTTTTTTATACCTTAATTGTAGTTATTAAATTGAAATGAATTTTATTTTTCTTATTAGTGATAAAATAAAAAAATATAAAAAATAAGAAAAAAATTGGAATGAATTTAGCGATGGTTTTTCAACCGTCGTTATTCTCACATTTAGCGATAGTTTTCCGAAATAGTCGCTAGAAGTATTGCTAATTAGAGATAGATTTAGCAATGGATTTAATAAATGGTTGCTAAATTTTCCATTTGATGACGGTTTAACAAAACCGTTGCTAAAACTACGACCTCATTTCACCGTTATGTGATGAATTATTGTTGTTTTAGTAACGGTTAATCCATCGCTATTTTACCGATGGTATTCAAAAAATCGTCGCTAATGATTTAACAATTAAGTTTTTTTAGACAGATTTATATTGTCATGAAACCGTAGCTAATAAATATTAGCGGCGGTTTTCTCTTATTTTGGTAGTGCAAGATGCATGTATATGGACTGATTTATAAACTCAAGTTAAGTTAAAGAATAGCCGAGATCTGATTTTGAAGTCCTGTCTTTATTAGATAGAATTCTTCTAATATTATACATTACACTAGGAATTAATATTGAGGGGTTGGCTTTATGATTAAGATCGGTTATAGTTTCTTTTCTCTCTTTTTTATCATTAGAGATTTAATCCTCAAGCTAATCAGTTATGAGAAGTAAAATTATTATGATTTTTTTTTATTCTTTTCTTTTGTATTGACATTTATTTTTTAAGTGATTGTTTCATAAAAAATGAATTCAATCAAATATATTTATGAATTTAAAATAATTTTTTATTACCCTCAACTGAAAAAACTATTAAGTAAGATAGAAAACTATATATAGGTTTTAATCATATATATATATATAATGTTAATTCAAGATATGATATCTATTAGTCATCGTAGAAAATGGGTGAACTAGACAATTCTTGTTCACATATCATGCATAATTTGAGGTTAATATACACCTATGTATTTATCATTCTGGCATAATTATATTTAGTAGTTTGTGATTTTATTTTAAATTTTGTTAAAGCAGAGTGAAGGTAGAGTGAAAGTAGATCAAAGGGCAGAAACAAAAAGTAGGTTTTGCCATGATGCAAAGGTATCTAGAGATATACTTGTGATAATTACAGCGGAACTTGGGCTCATAATTAGCTATAATGTAAACCAGATGACTCCAAAAATTATCTTCTTTACATTTAGTCCTTTCTGGCTAGTAGTAGTATTTGCTAAAGTTTTAAAACTTAAAGAAGAAGCATTGTATATAACACCTAATTTGCCAAATGATGGTGCATTGATATGCTGCAGTAATGTACAACAAAGCATCATTTAAAGCACAATTCTTAATAGTGATGGAATTATTGCTCAAACATTTCACAAAAAATAAAATAAATAAATAAATAAATAAAATAAAAGAAGAAGAAGAAGTTTTTAGAATTACATGCAATGATAAAAATCATGTGGAAGAAATTGAGGTTTATAATACCATTAATTAGTTGACCATGATCCCTTAAATGATTGATGAGGATGGCCCAACTCGAATAAAACAAATGATATTATAAAATTTTATACACAAGCTTTTGTTTTATACATAGGGTTAGAATCATGGCTTCTCTCTTTTGTATTTTATACACAACATGTTTCCTGTTCAATGACAAGAGCTCTATTAAATTATTGAACAACCAAACGTGTACTGAATATATATATATATATATATATATATATATAAACATGTTTCCTGTTCAATGACAAGAGCTCTATTAAATTATTAAACAACCAAACGTGTCCTGAATATATATATATATATATTGGACAAATTGCAATTAAAATTGTAACCAACATTCTTCCTCAATTTACTGTAACATGCATAAAACAAATGATATTATAAAATTTTATTTTCTTTTGTCTTCCCCTATTTCCCCTAAATAAAGGTTTCACGTGAATGTCATTAATTTTTTAAGTCTATAAAATTATTTATCCTACATTTGGCATCCTTAGCTTGTTATTTAAAGGGTAAAATATATTTTGTGCCCTTATATTGTACAATACTTTTTATTTCAATTTTTCTATTCAGATATGATGCAAAATAAACTTTATACCATTTAAATTGGACAAACTAATTTTTTTATCCATCTCTTTTTTATCACGTGTAATCATATGATTGGTTAGACATTAGATGAAAGAGCTGATTTGTTTCAATTTTAAATATTATAGAGTTTGTTCTATACCATACTTAAATATAAGAGTTAAAATAGAAAATACTAAATAGTATAAGAATACATATGCATTTGACCCGTTATATAATTTGTCAGTAAAAAAATTATCTTATTTGGTATTTATAATTAATGTAACATTCATGTGCTTGTGAATATAGTTATTAAAAAAAAAAAATCATAGTGTCAAATTATATATTTTAAGGTTTGGCGATAGAATAATAAATTTGTTTGAATTTCTCACGGATTTCCTAGTATAAACTAGATATAATAAAAATATATTATCAGAAATTTTTGATTTCAATCAAACACAAAAATCATATTTTCAACAATAACATTCTAAAAAAAATATCTAAAAATCTGCATGTCAAACATTCTCTGAAAATACTAGCTCGATCTTCATTATTTTACTTAATATATGAGACATTCAGGTTAATCCCAAACTTTTGGCTGAGGAAACAGCGTCCTTCATATAAAATAACTCAATTGCTTGTATTAAAATTAAAATACTTTTATAAACAGGTTTAACAAGGTGCAAATATGCCACCATTACCCTAAAAATTATTCCATAGCTCAAACTCAAATCTATTGGAGATGGACAAGCACATTAACCATTGAAGATGGAACCAATCTCAAAGAGCCTTGGGGGTGACCATCCTTCTCTCTCAATTCATGCATTTAGGGTATTGTGCTAGCTAACGAGCAGCCCTGCAGGCTATAAAGGAGAACCTACTTAATTACGCCTAGTTAAAAGAAATAAAATTCGATCTGACAATTAGAAATATCGTAAATTTCTATGAGAATGGACCCATTTCTGAAAAAACCAAGTTCTAATGGGACCATTTTTGCACACAATTCCGTAAATATTTAACTTCTTCAAATCTATCTTGTTTGGAACTCCATTGACTTGGACAGTCCAACATGTTTCCCGTTCAACTGCAAGAGTTGAATTCAAGTATCAAAAGATGCAAATATAGTGTCATCACAAGGCACCAACTTTCTTTGTTTCTAAGATACACAACAAGGATCATGCTATCGCATGAACGCAAATTCTAAACAATAGTTTCTGTTAAAGTGCCTTGAGCCCCTCACTAGCCTACTCCATTATCTATGGCTGAAGCATTGTCTAACTGATAGCTGCACACATCTCCTAAAGTAGAGTTCCAGTGCTTTACATCAAAACAATCTTACAGGTGACAAAGGTAAACATAAACTACAGCCCATTACATGTAATTCCAAATTTCAACAAAGTTGCAACCTCTGCATAGCCAAGAACAAAATCAACAGACATTCGAGAAATAAATAATGTGCCCATGTCAACTGCTTCATTTAATATTTCCATAACTAGGGTTATACACATATACCTTTGCTCTCATGTGAGATTTAGGTAAAGTTATAATAAACATAAATTAAAAGGATTAAGAAAAAAGGAACTCCATAACAAATTGCTGATATCTACAGTGGCAGTTGGCATAGCATCGAAAATCTCGAGAATGGCAATTGTGTTACCTATGATAAACTCCTTCTATTTGCTGCAAAAGTGCCTGATTATAACGTCCTGGAAGATACAGGGGAGTTCCAGAAAGAATGAATCAGTCTCTTCTGCAGCAGGGTTTGACCCTACAACATTTGTTTGTTTCCATTGAGAAATGGATCGTCGGATCCTTAATGTGTCTCCAAGCCAAATCATTTCCTAATCTAGATGACCATGCAGCACATAAAGCTTCTGCAACTTGTTCTGTGAAGCCATTATTGCTCAGGTCTATGAATTGCAGCTGCTTTGCCATGCTGATGGCAGTTGTAAGCTCTTGAATGAATTGGCACTCTAACAATGAATTCTTTTGGGATGAGCTTGTGCAGCTGTCATCAAAATCAGACGGAGCAGCTTCTGCCCTGATTGGACCATCTTCACTATCGGCCACTTCCAACTGATTACATTCAGTGTTCATAACACACATACCCTGCTTGTCAGTGTCAGTTTCCTTGGGCACACACAGTTTTGAAGATTCAGATATATTTAAGTCGGGCTGTAAAATGTCTGAGCTCCCTTTTGTCAACTCATACTGCAGCATGTATGTTTTCTCCAGGTTGGCATTATCAGCAAGATGGAGCTCTTCTAGAGAGTCATTTTCTGGACTCGTTAAAAAAAAAAAAAAAAAAAAAAAAAATTTATAGTAATTCATAAAATGAACATTTCAAGGACTAGTTTTGAAATTAATTTGGGTTTCTGGTAAGAACCTGCGAGTGCCTGAATCATTTGAAGAACTCCAGTAAGCCCCAGTTGACATTTGTTTAGCACCAAAACTTTCAGACAGCATTGTGGATTTGTAAGAAATGACACTACTGCATTTGTACCCTGCGTCCATAATTCATAATCAAGTTCACTCTAATTTACAGAACTTCAAATCAAGTATTTGCAGTTCAATTCCGCACAGGAAAAAAAGAGTGTAAAGAAAAGAAAAAACATGACAGCATAAAGCAGATAAAATTGGGCAATATTCTTCCTAAGAGCAGTTAATTATGAATAGCTCACATAATCTACTTCCTCTCTAGATCTCAATGCGTTGTGATTTGTCACCAGACACCATTTTCTTTCAAATTCATATTAGGTGACTAGAGTTCATGAGCAAAAGCAGAAGAGCTTTACATTGATGACAATTAGACACATTTGCTGTAAATCAGATGTGTGAGCACTAAGAGTCTAAGACTGCCTCATGTGGTAATTAAACCAAATGGCTTATAAAATTGGTTTAAGATATTTTGGCTATTTGCAAGAGAAACCAATGTCTTTAGGATGCCAATCACCAGTGAAATTGCTACTGCTGCAAGCAGGTGGAGGGCCAAAAGAGGTGTGGTTTCAGGTGGTGATACTTCAAACCAAACTAGACTTAAGATGATCTCAGATGGTGGATTGGCAACATGGAGCTGAACGCAGAAACTATATGCAACAGGTTTCTTGTTAGCAAAAAATACATGCACTAGCTGTATCTTTGTTGTACTTCCGCTCATAAGAGATCACTGGATTCAAGTCTACTTGGAACAGATTCTGAATTCATACTGAGAACCAGGAACTTTTAGGCAAGCAGGAAATATAAGGTTTAGACATGACTTTAAATAAAGAAAATTAAGAACAAGCCCAGTCGCCCACCTGAAATGCTTAAGCAAGAAACAAGGATCTCAATCAAATTGAGTTAATCATAATCATATATAATCAAACCACCAAAATCAAGTTCACCTCTAAGGAGTCAAAATTTTTAACAAAAGGGCATGTTTATAAGTAATATTAACTGTTCATACTGTGAAGACAGGGTATTGTGACACTGTTCACTACACATCAGGCGCCATGCTATTTACTTTCCACTCCAGAAACATGTTTCTCAAGAGGCAAACCAAGCTAAAGAATAAATATAGTAAGTTTAACGCCAGAAAAAATGTCATTATCATAAATTAAATTAAGAGCAAACCTCTTGCATGATGGGATTTCCAGCAAGGTTCAGCTCAAGAATGCCACAAATCAGAGTACCAGTACTGAGTATATGTGAATATGCAGGCATTAGTCCACAGTATGACAGGTCGAGTTTAACACACTCTTGAGACCCGTCGAACAATGATGCAGTTAATTGTAGTGCCGCATCCTACAATTAATATCAATTATAAGAGAAAACAGAGGTATAACCAAAAGTTGTACAGAATGTCAAACATTACTCACAGTTCCTATGCCGGTGCTTCCTAGCATTAACCGTGACAAGCATGATGTTTTAGCAAGTTGGCAGAGACTATCAACAACAGGCTTGGTTAGCTTTAACCCACTCAGGTTCAGTGCTGCAAAACTGCAGACAAGCAAAATTCAAGAGTTCGAGTCCTTATTCAGAAGTTGTATCTCACTCATGACCCATGCAGAAAAATATAAATGAAAAGAACTTCAGAATATTGAGTTGTATATAAACCTTTTCAAGGTGGCAAGTTTGGCTAGTAGATTAATGATAGCATTTCCAGATATAGGGTTATTGTATCCTGTTGAAGCACAAATTAAGTAGACAATAAATAAGAGATAGACTAAATGATATTATACACTAAATAAGCCAAAAAAGTGCACCTATAGAAAGCTGTGCCAAGACCAAGCCAGTATTTAGTGCATCAGCCACCTTTTGAATTGTTCTTGTTGTTATAGAACAACGCTCTATGTTCAAGCTGTATAGGGCTACAAAAGAAAAGGGGCACATAAGAAATAATGATATGTGAGGGAATGCAAATGCTAGCATCTTCAAGCATGCACAGTTGACATTAGACATAGATCAAGTCAACAAAGCCCTTGCTCAACCCCTGTACCCTCCAAGCCAAACTCTTGAAGGAAACCCATTAATAATCATTTAATAGAAGCACTGAAAGCCAGAAACTCACCTCTGCAATTTTCCAATATGGTTGCAAGGTAAGATCCACATGCATCAGTAAGACGGTTTCCAGAGATATTAAGGACTTCCAGTCGAGCAAAGAGCACAGGACATTCACAGATCTGACGATTTCAAATTTGAAGCATATCAAGAGCCAAAGGAAAAAAAAAAAAAAAAAGGGCATTGACCAATGTAGTTCCAGTCATCATGAAGTAGAGTATAATTCTTTGCATAGAATTTAAGAGTTCATATAAAAAAAAAAAAAGTTCGAGTTACTGCATTGTCTGGTATCAAGAATTTTTATGTCCCTCTTGGACTCACTTTCTCAGGAATCTGGATGCTGACAATACAATTCCTGGAATATATAATGATTTCATTTGGCTCTTAACTTGCACTTGGTTCATTCTGGCAATTCATATCATATAGAAATTGTCCAGAAAGCTCAAGGTTTATAAATTGCCTTTGAATCGTGTGAATATCTTTTCTAAATAAAATTTAACCTTATAAGGAAAAACAAAGGCATTGAATTCTTATATACTGAGAAGATGTATGGCTGCTTATCTATGCATGTTAAAAGCTTACAATAGAAGCTACATCAAATGTATCAAACCAACTTGAGCTTAACAAAACCAAAGTACACTATCAAATCCCTAAGAAAGAAATGAACTACATATCAAAAAACTTCCATAAACATGTAATATATTGAACTATTATTGTTTTTTCATGTCTTGACAATAGTTTAAATCACTGAAGCATAAAGTTTTTACCAGCTTAGTGGTGACGAACCAAGTTCAAAGAACACACCAGTCTAAAGATGTTAGACCAATGTCTAAATGTTTTGCTTGACAACCTATTAATTCGTTTTACAGAATGCAATTTCTCAGCTACTTAGATTGTTATAAAGACAGTGACCTTCCAACGGTAGATAAATTGATTATATATAAAATAATTTTTATTTAATTGCACTCTTTTGGTTCACGAATTCTCCATGCAATTTTTCCTCTGACTTTTAATGGCATTTAAGTCATTCTGCTTACTAGAAGTGCACTACTTAAGTTGTAAGTTTTACTTTCAATTGGTCAACATCAAATTTTCCAAACCTCCTGTCCTAAAATAATAACATCTAGAGTACTTGTAATAACCAAAAGTAATTGAAAACCATGGCCTTCGTACTGGTTAGCTATTTAATCTCCAAGATTGCAATATCCAAATGCCATGAATGTTGTTAAAATATAAATTTTTGGAATATGAAGTTTTAAAGCAACATCAGGTTGTAAAATTGCAATAGATCTGCATCACATATGGTCCAGTCATTTCTTTCGTAAGTATGGGTTTAGCTGGCCCTAAAACCGATGTCATTTTAAAAAAATAATTATTACTTGTGGCAGTGGAACATGCAGACTTTATATCCAACTTCTTAGTAGTCATCAACAATGTCCAGAGAAATTTAATCCAAATAACCAAAACATTGCAGCCATTCTGTGTCCAGATTTCCTAGTTCCACATTTGCAATTGGGTGAGAATGTGATTCCTTCCTCCAAATTTGAGAATCACAATGAATGCAAGAGAGCAACCAAGTGAGGAGCTAGAGTACTCTAAATCAATTTTAGGCTGAAAATTATTCAGAAAATTAGTTGTATTCATGCAGACATGACAAAAATTGCTGTGTAAGTTACATACCTGAAACAAAGCAGTTGGACCAAATCGATTGCAATGCAAATCCAAAGTCAAATCACCATATTTTTGCCCTGATATGAGACATTGTTGAATTTTCTCCATTGTTCCATTCCCTGAGAGAATAACCAATGGATAACTAATATTAGCTGAGGAGAAAATCCAGGACCACTCTTTCCTTTTAGAGATAATAACAGCTTCTGTTTTGAGAAGCATGCAAAGAAACAGTAAGCATGCCCTCTTTAATCCTGAAACAGATGCATATAAAAGGTATGATCAACAGCCAACTATCATTACCCAAAAAATTATGGGAAAGGTCTATCAAGGCAACTGTTTTGTGCGTATGCAGGGAATTCAACAGTGGAGTTACTGATATATCTTGTAATTCACATTCAGATCCAATAACTTCATCCTCCACCTGTTACACAAAAAATGAATAGCACCTAATCAAGATTTGGACATGTAGAACTCCAATGGATAAAATGAGATCCCCTATCATGTCACTACCAATAAGAGCAAGATTCCCCTTCAGTATTTAGAACCTAATCAGCCCCCATGCTTACCTCTGAAATGTATAGCTTTTTAAGCAACTTCATGTTAGGTGCCTCAGATAACTCCTCGCAGAAGTCAATGTACAGCTTCATCAAGCGCTTTTGAACCCAACCTGTTGTTTCATTGAATAAAGAACATGGCATTAGGAAAAACTTGAAATGAAAAGAACAAAGCAGCTGTAATGTACAAATTTAGCAGCAGCATCCGTTTTTGCTGGAAATGGTTATCCTGCCTATACCATATGTATGAGTACCTTCAGTAAGTTACCAGAGAATAAAAGAGCAAAGTTGAAGTTCGGTTCTAAAAAACCGTTCTGGTTAGATTCCCTTCCACACTAGTATCTCCTCAAGCATCGGCAGAAAATCATTTGAAAGCATGCATTTTAATTCAAGTCATTCTCATTCTACAGCTTATCTATATTTCAGTAGTAAAATTCCTCCATCAGGACCCCTGTTGACCAGAATCATGTTCAACACAATTTGAGCCAAGTTAAGTAAAATGTTTTCAGCAGCTACCTCTATTGTGAAGTACTTTGTTCCTGTCAACCCACTATGGAAACTGATCCTATCAAGATTGTTAACGAATGCCCAAAAAAGTCCCTCAAGACTGTCTAACAACAATGTCAATAAAACATCTAAGCAATCTTTTCCACTTACCGTTACAAGTACACAAGGCCCAAACTGACAAGTTAAAAATACTTGAATTGGGGAGAGCATGACAAACTACCTTCACCATAAGAGTATTCAAGATTCCAGGAAAATAAAGAAGGCTGGAAAAATTATATCATGGAAAGGAAATCAGAAGTTGTAACACATACCATCAATGGAAACTTCTATTAGGATGTTTCCTTGATCACCCTTGAGAATTTCAAATGCTTCTATGGAATCTAGAACTCTTCCATGACATTCCATCTGCTGAATGATGGGCAAGAGACCTAGTGAGATAAAATCCACGTATTAATAGACGTGATGTAACCAAGAAAGAAAAATAATACTGTTAGATAATAAACATGCAGGAGAGTTAAATTTCTTCTAGGATTAGGTTTTAGGATTAAGATAATAGACATGCAGGAAAGTGAATTCTCATCTAATTGCATGTTGTTCTTCACCATTTTTCAATGTTTGCATGACAACAGTAGGACTTGACCTAAGACCTCACTCCCTCTCCTCTGGGAGAGTACTGTTGGGCCAAACACCCAATCAAATAAAGGAGCAAAAAAGGAGTCCATGCACAGTTGAGACTTTGTGGCAAAACAAAAAGTCCATTGTCTTGCAATGTAGGCAAATGCACGTGCCATGTGTAACAAAGTAGCCTAAGCTTGATACGTCAGGCAGTAGAAAACTTCACTACGCATATAATGTAGAGCAAGTATTTGCAACTCTGCATTGGCACCATTGAAGCCCACCCTTGGGCCATTTAGACATAAAAATCAGCTTCACTGGAGCATCGCAACCTTCACAGAAAGAATTTATTTGCCGATTTGCTTTAGTAATACACATGGCATGATTTCCACTGCAATCCTGCCAACTGTATGTTGTTTTTTGAACAGAAAAAATAAAACAAAAAAGAGACTTGTGCTCGCTGCTCATTGTTAACCTTTCACAACAGTGCACAATCGTGTTGGAAGGAGCATTTAAGTCCTTTCTTGTTGCCATTAATATACAAACTCTTCCACTAGTAATTCAAATACAAATTGTTTCTTTATTGCTATTAGATTAATGTGGATTACAATTCATATGCCCAAAATTATGATTGTCAGAAAACAAATGCATGTAAAGTCCAACAGCCATGCCTACCTTTTGATCTCTTATCTGTAGGAAGCTGCAAATAGTACAAACAGGCCAGCTCAACAGTCATAGACTCAATGCTCAATTTATCAAAAGCCAAGTATGAAGCTGCATCGACGTGTATCAGGTCATTGTCAATTCTGAATATGATGCACTGCTGCATTCAGTACAAGAGATCACAAATTAGCAAATTACAGCAACAGCAACCAAAAAATTATAGTACAGGAAATACAGTGATAAATAAGCATTATTGATTATCTCTATCTCCTAAAAGATGACCTTTATCTAGTTCTACAATTTTCAGGCTTGAAACCAAAAGGTTGCAGATTCGAGACCTACTTCATGAAAAATTGACGAGGGACAGGAGTGTCTCTCAGCTCTCCCTTGCAAATTATAATGGTAATACAATTAATAGTTGCACTTGTAACACTCACATTATCATCATTCTCGGAATTATGCAACCTCAGATGGGCAGCATTGTTTTTATGCCTTGAGTTCTCAGAGACAACATCACATTTGGAACCACTAGCAGCAAGATCACATTCAAAAACAACTTTGTTATTGCTTGAAGATCTAAAAACTTTGCCTTTGGGAGTCACAGCTTTAGGGCTCTGAGATTTGTATGAAGAAGTGCTTTCTTCATTGTTATTGGGATTCCAGGAACTGGTAGCACATTTGGAAGCAGCTGTCTGCCAAATAAAGTGTAAAGCAATTAGCAATCAAATTCACAAGGGAAAAAATGTACTTCAGCTTTTGATCTACCTGTTTTCATACCTGAAATCCACTTTCAGAAATAGCCAGATTGCTTGCCCCCGTAACTGCAATTAAATAAGAAACACCTCAGTACTAATAGAAATGGAATTTTAGATCCTAAATAAGTTAATCATTCCTGATTAATAAAATCACTTAAACCCACATGCATTAGAAGTAGCAACATCCTCTACTGGGCAGCTATTGAGCCTTTCTCTGGAGCAGTCTACTTCATCATGCATTTCATCTTCATCATCTGAAAGGACTATTCTAATACGTTTACGACCAAGAACTGTCTGCTGATCACTAGCTGTTTTGGATAAACATTTTGGAGAAGCTTCAGTTGGCCTAGTAGAAGTATTATGCCTTTCTGCTTGAGTTGGCTTTCTTCTGGGAGAAGCTTTACGGGACTGAAGGAGTGAAATCAGAGGTAAATCATCAATCAACTCTTCAGCACCAGCTAATGATTTCAATCTTGCAGAATTAGATTTGCTAATTTCTTGGGAGCAGGATGCATTAGATCTACAATCTGACAAGTGATTATCCCCTTCGGTATCAGTCTCAGAGCAGCAATCCGTTGCCAAATTATGTTTTTCAAACTCCCTATTTTTGGACTTTGTCTTCTCAATTTCCTGCTGCAACCTCCTACAATAGAGAACCTTTCTTTGAGTAATAATACATGTTTATGCCTCTGCAAGAAAACCTTTAAACTTCAACTTACTGTAAAACTAGTACTTTGGTTATGAACTTCTGAAGTTCAAATTCCTATGCCATCAAAGCTAATTCCGAGTGGCTAGCCTAGATTGATGAAGGGACTTGCATAATCCAAATTTACCTGGCCTCTTCTTTGTTGTCAAATCTTATCATGTGGCTATAGTGCATGTTCTCTAATGCTGAAAGCTGAACAGAGGGAAGATTAGCTTTAACAGCAATCCTGCATAATAGGAAAACAAAATAAATGAGAATCATTATTATTATCCTAAGAATTAGGTACCAGTAGACAACCATTTTTCTAAAGAAGCTTGATCTCTATGCTAATGGAATGATTTCAGGTGACTCTCACAGGGAATAGTCTGAAATTTAATTTTCTTGTCCTTTTCTTTTCCTTTGTTGTAACTCTTGCAAGTTCAAACTACTAAGACAGCAATTGGGCATCAGATCAGGCCCATGTACTCTTCATATAAATAAAGGAAAAGGCATTACTTTTGAGCTGACTAGTGTATTTTGATCATAATGACAAGAATTAACAAATCAAATAAGGATGATATGAGAATGATAAGAGAAATAATCATATAACTGTTAAAAAATTCACAAACTTTGGAAATGATGCATTAAATTATTGCAGCTTATAGTGCACTGAAATGCAACATTTTAACAGGGTGTATCCTGGAGTACTCACCACCCTCCCTCAAAAAACCCCACATCCTAACATTAATAGAGGTTCAATCCAGTTTCCAAGAAGGAGAAATCCAGCATAAAAGAAGCTCTTTCATAATTTGTTTAAAACACATGATGCACGTGTCAAAGGCACCTCCGTAACCATATAGACTAGATGCACCAATGGCATTTGTTTTTGCTTGCATTTGTCAAAGACACATTCCTAACCGAATACTCCTAATGCTGCTTACCAACTAGCAAAACCTTGTTGCTAAATACTATCCTCTTATTGTATTGAAAACAGCAGTATCCACATGCACACTTTCCACTTTGCCCACATGGTCTGCATTTGAGTCGTGTATTAAAAAACAGGATGTACATTGTAAAAGCAGAAATGCCTAACACACCAATTCTGTCATGCTAGACGCTCCATGAATCTTCTAATTCAAACAGAAGAATTTCTGAGAAAAACAAGATGAAGAGAAAACTACCTATATCCTTCTTCAAATGCATTTAGTGCTCCCATCCAATCACCATCATAGTCCAGAACATCACCAATATTAATTTTTGCTAATGCTTGACCCTGAAATCAATAGTTGTTAGGAGTTAGAGCTTTGACTGTCAAACATATAGTGCACCTTGACTTGCATGTGTGCCAGCTCTGACACCAAGTAGCTCAAACTAAATTTAAGGGCTCCACTCAATCAATCATAAGTTATTAACAGGTATACAGGAGAATTAACATATGAAAGGATCATAGAACCTACAAAATTACCTCCAAGTTGCCGATTGACTTGTATGTCTCCCAACTCTTCATGAACCATTTACTGGCTTTCTTGAATTTTCTAAGCTTCTGGTATGATTCTCCAAGAAGTAGAAATGAATCGCCCAGCTTCTCTTTATCACAGAGTTCACTTGCTATTCTCTTCTTCCGTTTTGCAAATTCATGATGCTAGACATATAACATCACCGAATTTTTCAGCTTAAAATCACACAATAGCAATGAAAACATAGTTCCCAGTTACAATCATAAACTCCAAAGACCCCCTTTGACCTTTGTGACGATGGGGGGTGGGGGGTTGGGGTGGAATGCAGAGGCCAGAGACACATGCCAAGCTTAATCAATTTAGTTGAAAGTTTCTCTTTTGCCTCAAAACAACAGACAATAAAAAACAAAGCTATTTTAACAATTCAAAATATGTAAATGACAACATACAAAACTCTTCATATCAAAAAGGGAAACTGGCTTTCCAAAGTAAATCTGCAAAGTAACAAAGGCGAGGCAGCATCTATGGCTGAATGGGTTGGAGCCTGATTAATCCTAGCTCAAACAAGTGAATGAAATCTAACTAGATCTTTTTCAAAAACATCTCAGAAATTCCATTTCTGTTAAATTAGGACAGCACTAATGTGGAGTTTCTCTCTAATAAGAGCACAACGAGATGATCAAAGCTTGTAAGGGAACAAAAAATGAAATAAATCTCATGTAAACATGTTCCAAAAACTAAATGAAAAGTAACTATTAGAATTTGTTCTATGTATGAGCAGTTAGATATTACCAAGGCTATTAGAAGACTACAATATGTTTGGTAGAGCAGCTACCTTTGACCATGCAAGTATGATGCTCGACTTCTCAATGAGGCTATCAAGGGACGCATTCTGTTGCAGCAAACACTTCCGTTCATGATGTGTTCCCCTTGCAGTGACCATACTTCTAGTTAACTTTTTAAGATTCTGTTCTTCTTTCTTCAATTCATCCATCACCTCCATAGCTTCTTTTACAGTTCCAATATTATGACCAATTTCCTTGACCAAAGCATCTTCATCTTCCATGGATTTTGCCAGATCAAGTGCCTTCTGATAGCAAAGATTTGCTTCCTCATACTTTTGAGCCCTGTAATGCAGTTCACCAAGATTGATATATCCTTTTGCCTCCCCTTGGCAATGCCCTATTCTATTACAAATTCTGATATCTTTTTTAATGTGTTCCTGAGCCTTATCCCACACCCTCAGCTCCATGTAAACATTTCCAAGATTGTGATGGAGCCTGGTCCGACAATCATCATCTGCATTGACTTCTTCTTCATCACATATTTCTAGACCTCTAGTAAGGATTTTCTTGGCTTCTTCTAAGTTATCAAGATCCATTTCAATCATTCCTATATTATTATGTGCATCTATGTATTCTTTGAGGAAGGAAGATTTATTAGTATGTGGATTTTCCTTGAGAGTCTGAGCTAGCTTCATGGCTGACTTGAAGTACTTCTTAGCATTTCGAATTGAGGAATGGTCATCATCAGATTTTAAAAACATTTCATGATACGTTCGACCAAGCTGGGTGCTGGCTCTTTGCTGTTCAACAAGATCATTGGCATCCTTGGCAAGATCCAAATGCTTTTTCTGCAATAATGAATCACCTTTTTTAATAATCCGTATACATACCAAATCTCACTTTCTTGCAACCTTTGTTTTTAAAACTGAAATCAACTCAAAGTTCACAATTAATTATATAATCGTTCTTTTATTATTATTATTAATTTATTTTTTCTTTTTGAAGTTTAACAAACCAACTTTACACATCTTATATCTTTTCTTGAGCCAAAGCTATAAACAAAAACCTTCTATATAGTTTAAAACACAAGAAGAAAAATGGATCACCAAATTAATTCAATCTAAACCTCTCAAATCAACAAATTATACAATTTTATTTTTTTCTTAAAAAAAAATATTCAAATTTCCTTTAATTCTAAACACCCAAACCCCAAAAACCAAAACAAATCTCATTTCTTTTCTCTCGGCAAAACCCAGTTCATAAATCTGATCTGAGTCATCAAGCCCTAATTTACATCACAAATTAAAACCAAACAAACCCCAAACTTTCCACCAATTCTCCACATCAAAATTCAAAACACAAAACCCACTTCTCATTTTCCACAAAAAAAACAAAACTCATCTTTCATATTCTCAAAAAATATCCAAAAAGCGACCCAATTCAAAAACTAACCTGATAAACCAAAGCATGCTTGAAATCATGAAGCCTGAGATAAACCTCTCCAATAGACTGACAAGTAGGCAGCAACTGCTTCTCAGGCAAGTACTTAATTGATATTTCATAATCAATACGCAACCATTTCAATGCTTTGACATACTCTCCTATGTTCTTATACATATCTCCTATCAAATTTGCCCATCTTGCTTCCTCTTGGTGATTCCCAATTTCACGCGCATTCAAATATGCACGATTCGCTGCCTGTATTCCTTGTTCTTCTTTTGTTATTGGCATGATGATGATGATGTGATCTGGTGTTTGTTGGTGTTAAGTACAGAAAAATGGGGGTTTTTAGGTTTTAGGGTTTTGATATTTTAGATTGGGGATTTTGGGTTTTTTGAAAGTTTATATTTGGGTGCCAAACCTGAATTTTCCCGCCAGAAGTAAAAGTGGATTTTCAATTTAAAAGCTTAAGGCCAGGTGCATGTTAGGGCACCTGGGCCCATTTTACAGATTGGTCTCCAAGAATTTCGGGTTTTTTTTTTTTTCCCACTCCTTATGGTAAAAGTTTGTAGCCTCGAGTTGTTTATTCTTCATTTAATGACATAGCTAACCCTGATCAAATTATTAGATTATGAAAAAATAAGATTTATACTATTAATTTAAATTATTTGAATTTTAAAAAATTATTTTTGGGTAAATTTATGTTTTTTTTTTCATTATATTTGATAGTTAAAATATTGACGGTTTATTGAAAATTTTAAAACGACATCTTTTTTTAACAATTTAGCTTGTTTAAATTAAAATTAATTTAAAAATATTTAATAATTTTAGATTTAAGAAATTTTAGATTATTTTGTTGTTTATAAATCTATCTTTTGTTATTGAATTGAATTTTTAATTTTTTAAAATTAATTTTAACTCTAAAAAAAATGCTTAAAACAACGTAATTTTAAGCATTTTAGTTAACAGTTCATACTTTAACATGCATAATAGAAAAAGATAAAATTTATCCAAAAATTAATAACTTGAGGTCTAAATAATCAAATTGATAGTATAGGTCTTATTTTATCATAGTTTCAATAATTTGTGGGTAAATTATGTCTTTAAAGTGTTTATATATTCTTGATCATTTTTTCTATGCATGAAACTAATAGCTAGGGTAAATTGTGGGTCTATAAAAACCATACTAAACGCTAGCATATGCATAAGCGAATGGTGAATTAAGATTGAATAGATGGTTAAGACATGAATTTATTTGCATTTAATGATTTAGGAATAAGCTGAGATCCCACTTTTTAAACAAACTTTTAACTATGAGGCAACTTCTCAAGGTATATTATATTCTCATGCAGTTTTGTAAGGAGAAATTTTATATTACTCCAAAAGTTATTAAGATAAACACCAAGATAAAGATGAGAGGATACTAGAAAAAAAAATTAAAAAAATTGAGTCTAAATGGAAATATTTTTTATTACTTGTGATGGATTTGGAAAAAGAAAATCTCCTTAAAAAAAAGCTTGTTGAATATTTTAAAAATTTCTATCTGTACAATTGCGTGAGAATTCAACATACCTTACCACGTGGTTTATATTTAAAAGTTTGTTTAAGAACGTGGGATTTAAGGGCATAATCTTGTATTTGGGATTTGCTGCCTTGCATATTCACTTGAGGGCTAGTAGAGTTTTTCTGAGAGAAGGATATGGAGGAACGATTTCCTATTGCAATTTTACAAGCAAGTTCCTTGTCCTCAGATTCAATAAAAAATAAATAAATAAAAAGGAAGAAGCAAATTCCTTATCATGCACCTAATAAAAAGTTAGAAGAAAAAAAATAATTTTGTTTTCTTAAACTAGAACAGAGCCGAATTAAGCATTTACAACAACAGCACAGAAACACACAAATCAATTGAAGAACGGATTGAACACGAATGTCTTCATCCTTGACATATGAAGCCTAAGCATGCTACATAAAATGTACATAAAAACTTGTGTTTAGCATTAAAAATTTGCTAAGCAATAATGTTATCCCAATCCATTCACTTTGACCTCTTTAAATATTCTCGAGGGATGAAAATTGGAATTTGGCCTGCCTATTTCAAGTTGGACTCCGGTGTGGGGAAACCAAAAAGGAAAAAAAAATGTTCCATTTACAATTGAATTTCTCCTCCAAAAGAAAGCATCTAAACTTTCAATAAAGGTTGAAAGAAGAAAAAAGAACTGTGCAAACAACTTGAAGTAAAGACTAGTGAAATGGCTGTACATTCTTCTGCGACAATCTTTTTGTTGTCTCCTGAATAGCTTCATGCCTTCTTTTGGAAATTTCTTTCATTGCCTCCTGATACTGTAGTTCAATCTTTTGCACCTCCCTTCTCAACTCCTCATTGTCATCCTTACAAGATGACGAGGAAACATCGGATGCATAACCAGAAGAGGTGGTATTATTCATACTTGCATCAAAAAATTTGACCTTGTCATCAGTTGATGTAACCATCTCCCTTTCAGTTAAAAAGTCCCGCAAGGTCCCTCGCAAGATATTCCCTTCAAAGTCCACAGGTCCTGAATCTGTGGACATGTATGAAGTGAAGGAGAGCTTTTTATCATTCCAGTCACTAGAGTTTGCTGAAACATATGACATTTCAGAACCCCGATCTTCAGCTGCAGGTGGATTATGGCTAACAAAATCATCAAGATTGAACATCAACTCATCAAGTTTCACTGTACTGGGGCTTTCCTGTACCGGTGGAATCCATCCACCATGAGAATTGCAGCAACTTGAACTCCTTGAATGATTGACAAGATCACGAGCATTTTGGAAAGAAGCCAAGACCACTTCTCCATTTCCAGATAAATGGAAGTCCTGCTGGACCCTAGGGGTTTGCACTCTACTTGGAGGTACTATATGCTCAACGTGAACACAAGGTTTCCAATTGGGTATTAATTTCAACAACAACAAATCAATCAACTCAGCTATGAATTTGACATTTTGATCTTCAAGTTCCAATTGCTCAACCATTTCACTTGAAACTGAGAGAGCAGTATCACCATCAAGGTAGAATAGGAAATGAATATTCCTTACACGAGCACCTGTATTTAAGGAACATTTCTGGAGTTCTGTTCTTATTGAAAAGCAATGGAGAAGATGAGACTGGATTAGTTACGATAAAAGTGAACTTACCATTCTGATCAGCCATTCGAAGTATTAACGATACAGAGTTTTCATCATTTCCTTCACCTCTTAACAGGAAAACATTGCCTCGTTTTGCCCTTCGAACCTCCAAGCACAAAGAATGGGAACCCCCATTAACAGAATTATTAAAAGAAGTGATTGTGGGCATCTCAGGATCATGACCCAAATCCATGGAGGGGGCCTTATTCCTTGTAGTTGCAGGCCCTTCCGACATCAAACAACGATCTCCAATAGCAGTCATCTTCGGCATAACAATATCAGAACGAGGCAAGGAAGAATTCCTTGCAAATCCATTCACATCAAGAAAAGGGTCCATCAGAAGCTCCTTCGCTGACAGTCTTTCAGATGCTGGGACTAGACACTTTTCAATAAATTGCTTTACGTCTGGATCTTTAACTTTAGAGAGGGAAGCAGGCTTTATTCCCTACAAAAACTTAGGAATGAGTTAACTGACAAAACTGGCAAGAGATGAGATTTACAGTTAAAGGAAACAAAAGTCTGTTTTTCATTACACTCACTGATGAAACTTTCTTATATATCTGAGCCGAGTTCCTACATTCACTGTAAGGATATTCAAAAGTAACCATCTCCAGCATGCACATTCCAAAAGAATATATATCAGCTAACTCATTGTAGTTCTCGTCATACAGCTCAGGTGCCATAAATTCAGGGGTTCCTAATAAGAATCATTGACAAATCCATTCAATAGGTCCACATCAAACTAGGAAAAGGTATGCCATGTACGAATACTAAAGATGGAAATTAAAGAGAAACCTCCAAAGGACATATCAAAATGAGAATGATGCTGGTTAAATCGGATATCTTATACACTATGATGATGCACCAAATCTATCATTTCGCATACAAGCAATAAATATCAAGGGACAAAAAAAATGAAATACCTATTACACTTTTGGCATTTGCCTGCTCCATGACAGTTGCCAAGCCAAGATCTCCAATTTTAACTTCTCCTTGATTACCATTGATAAATATGTTGTCACACTTTAGATCTCTATGTATAATCGGTGGATCATGATTGTGAAGATAGCTCAAACCATTCAAAATCTGTCTTGCCCAACCCTTCACAGCCTTCATGTCAACCTTCCTGTGTTTCTTACGGTATCTGCAACACAGATTAAATCAACTAATCACAGGGCTAACTTCACCATAAAATAAGAAATCAAACTTCAACATATACTTAAGAAAAAAAAATTAAACTTACTGTCTAAGGCTACCCGAGGAGAACAGCTCAGTTATAATGTTAACAGTCTTCTTTTTATCATCAATCCATGAATTGTAAAACCTTACAATATTGTTATGTTTCAATGATTTCAGGAGATGCACTTCGGAGTAAAGCCTCTCCAAGTCATCAGGTGACTGCAAAACCTCATCAATCCTAACTTGGTTCCATGCTACTTCAATCCCATTAACTTCATCAAATGCCTTGTAGCTAAATCGATGGTGAAAATTAAGGATAGAATCCAAAACAAGAAATGAAGAATAATTTGCATCATAAAGAGGTTTTCTTATTCTAACAATAATGTCACTAACTTGCTCCTCTGTTAGATTCATCAGTTAATTAACTTAGAGACAATTAAATGGCAAAAAGTTCATTGAGACAAAAGAAAAGGATACACTGTCTTGAAAGCACCCTTCCCTAGCACCTCCTTATACTGTTCGAAGCCAACAAGCAATCAATTAACAAAAAATAGAATAGAAACCACACCACACAGACAATCAATTTCATAAACATTAAAAGATCAGCGGAGCTAATAAGCTACATATTCTAATCATGCAAAAGCATTTAGACTTCAGTAATATAAGGGATCTCTTGGGGGGAAAAAAACCATATCACTTCTCATTTAAAACCAAAACAAACATAAGAATATTGAAGACTATATAACCAAATAACAGAGTAAGAAAACCAAAACATTACCCGAATGTATCGACAAGTTGGATCGATCTCGAGAACATCTGGATCAGGAGGTTCCGAATGGGAACCACCATCTTCTGAACTTTCCATAACAAAAAACCTTACAACGCTAAAAACTCCAAAAAAAAAAAAAAAAAAAACGACCAAAAGCAGATTCCCAGTATTAGTGATTCATAAAATCAAATTCAAATTAAACTCTCTTAAGCTTCTATTAAAGCATAAAATCAGCCAACAATAAACAAAAACCTACATTCATCCAAAATTAAATTCTCAACAGTAATTTAATGCATGAAATCCAAATTAAACTCCCTTCAGCTTTCCATAAAAGCACAAAATCATCAAAAATAGAAAAAAAAAAAAAATCAAACCTACATTCATTCAATAATGAGCACGCACCTGATATATACAATGCACTAACATCTATCCATAACTTCACATGATAATCAAAACCCACAATTTTAAGCTAAAATATTCACAACCCAAAATTAACATTAAATTCAAAAAAACAAAAAAGACCCACATAATAAATTGACAAATTTTCAGAAAAATAAACACAACCCAGATTCAGATATTAAAATTGAGCTTCTGGGTTTTTACCTGAATTTAAAAATCCCAACAAAGTCTCCTCCTTTGGCTCCTCTGCTTGATCAAAAGCACCCAATTTTTTTTTTTTTTTAAGTATTCCTTTTCTTATTCAGACAGAAAAAGAGACACCCTAACCCTAATTCAAACAAGTATTGTTTTGATGGAAAAAAAAAAAATCAACACCTTTTCCAATAAAAAAATTTCTCAAAAAAACCAACAGCGAAAGCTTGTCAGGTGATAAAGAACGTATATTTATACTTATCGATTTAACACTTCTGATTAAAATAAAATATCCTTTTTTTTTTTTTTAAGGTTTACAGCCTGTTATTTTTCAAGTGAAAATATTGCATACGCGGGGCTTAGTTATTGGTTATAATTTGGGCGCGTTGGTGAGGTGGAGTTTAAGGATTGCTCGTTGAGGGACTCTAATGGCAGGTTGGTTTGAATTGATTTATTTAATGAGTTTCTATTTAATTTGCATTGGTTAAACGCATTTAGATAAGGTAATGAATTGCTTTTCAAATCCTGGTCAGAATCTGTTAATGAAAATATATCCTAACTACAATTTAAAAACTCTCTCTCTCTCAACAGGTTATTGGTACCATATGAATTGATGGTTTTCAAACAAATTTTTTTATCCATATGTAAAGTTTTAATTTAATTTTTCTATCAAATATATATATTAGTATTTTTTTGGTAACTACGTATCTTTTTTTAGTCTTTTTTGTTTGTTTTTGTAAATTTGGTAAATTATCTGGCAGAGTGATATGATGCAATTTTTTTTTTTTTTTTTTGGCTTTTTTTGGTAACAAACTCTAAAGTATTAGTCGGTTAGTTAAAAAGATTTGCTCTATTTTTTGAATTTTTAGATCTAAATCTTAGAATTAATATTCAAAAAAATACAATAATAAATCAGGCTGATGTAGTGAATATGTCTTTAAAATTATATATATATATATATATATAAACCTAATCTGGATTAATAAAAAATTAATAGTAAATAATATTTGTTAAGTCGAATAAAAAAAGTGTACATGTTAAAATTCAACTTGAGCAAATAGTTTCTCATTTAGAAGAAAAAATAAAATTGTTTTCAATTAATCAATAAATGTGATTTCATGAAAAATTAATTTTTTTGTCATATTTAAACCTTTGATGATAATTTGAAAAATAAACCTATTTATTACAACGATACCCCTCCAATTATTGCATCAATAGATGGATTTGGTCTTACTACACTGTAATTGCCCAAAATGTTACTTCTATCTAATTATAACATGACAATATAAAACAATCAAAACAAAAATTTAAAAAAAAATTGGAAGTCATTGGACCTTATTCTGGGACTCAATTCTTAATGTTTAGCTCACTTTGTTTGTTTTTAATCATGTTTCGATTAGGGATAACTGGTGAACCAGATAGACTCTTCCCAGCTGGTCAAACTCAACAATGTACAGATTGGAAACTGAGAATGAAGAAAAAAATAACAATGCCTTTTCTATTCTTGTTTCAAAGTTTCTTTTACAGGCTTATCTAGATAATTAAAAGTTCTTTTTATTTATTATTTGTTTTCTTCTTTGAATAGAAGTATACGTACATATTGCAGCATGCAGCTATCGGGTACGTAAATAATCTCATAATGTATCAGATAATGTTTAGCATATACATAGATCATAATGTTTTTTTTTTTTTTTTCAGAAACACATTAATGGATATGATCTCTGATTATGCAAAATTTTATATATGCAAACTTATTTTTTTTAACCTTATCTCAATCATTGAGATCATATTTCTCAGGTTTTGTAAGAATAAAGATATACTGATATATAGTTATGCCACCCAACTTTAGATGATATTTCTTATTATTATTATTATTTAGGTATCTATTGGTTATATTTATTGAGATTGATCATGTTTTTATTTTTTTAGTTAATCATCAAATATAAAATTGGCAAAAAAAATTATAACAACAGCTAGCATTTTACGTATCCTCATGAGTCGATCAAATAATTAAAGGAATGTCCTGATTAAAATAATGCATTCAAAACTTAGATGAGGTTATGAAAAATAAAATTTTCATAAATTACCTAATATGAAAATATGATTCAAAAATAAAGAAAAATGATGATCATGATATTTATGGCAAAAAACCAAAAATTCTCACACGTATAGTAGTGAACTTCATTATATATTGAATTGTTGATAAAAAAAAAAAAAAAGTTATTATTGAACTTGAACCAACTCTCTTGTCAGCAACACTATATTTGATCCAATAAAATATATAATTTGCACTTCAATTGTTAGAAGATGAATTTGGTGGAGGAGGAAGTGGTGTAATTACGGTCCCATCCATCATCAAAATCACTTAAATCACTTGCTTCATTGTTGGCCTTAAGTCTATCTCTATTTGCAAACACCATAATCCAATCTTAACTCGCATTGTGTCTAATTCTTCCAAATTCACCTCTAGTTCACCTATCACCTTTTTCACCTCTCCGACTTCATAGCATCCATGAACCCAATCCATTAGTGTTATTCCATCATCGGAGCTGACAAGTCCATTTTCTTTCTACAACACACAATCTCGAGCAATAAGATGCCAAAGCTATAGACATCGGCTTTGGTTATGATAGGTCCGTTATTTTTGTGCCATTCAAGAGCTTCATACCCTCTTGTGCCTCTTGGAATGTGTATGTTCTTGTTTGGTCGAGTTTTAAGAGCTTGGACAATCCAAAATCGAATATTTTTGCGGACCAAGATTCATCCATGAGTACATTGTAAGGCTTAATGTCACAATGGATGATCTTGATGTCGCGTTCTTCGTGTAGATAATGAAGCCCTTTTGCTACCTCTAGAGCAATCTTGGTTCTCACTCTCTAACTTGGCTATTCCTTGACCTTGAAGATATTGTCATACGCATTATTCGCTACCTCAAAAGTGCTTCTAGTCGGAGGATTTTCTTTTCCTCCAATAGTTTACTTATCCTGTGCGGTTATTGGAATGTTAATTGGGCTGCTTATACAAGCACTCGATGTTCTAGTACTAGTTATCGCATTCTTTGTTACCTCAAAGGTGCTATTGATCGGGGATTTTCTTTCCCTCTAATAGTTTACTTTTTCTATGTGATTATTGTGATCCCGATTGGTCCGATTGTGTAACCACTTGACGTTCTATTATTGATTGCATCATCTTTCTCGACTTATTGTCAATTTTTTAAAGATCTAAACGATCCGTTGTTTATTGCTCTATGTCCGAAGCTGAATATAGAGCCATGACAACCATTGCAAGTGAAATTGTTTGGTTCTATCTCCTATTTTTTTATTTAGGCGTCCCTCATCTTGATCGTGTCCCTTTGTTTTGTGACAATCAACCAACACTTCATAGAACAATTAATCCAATCTTTCACGAGCGAGACTAAGCATATTAAGATTGATTGTCATATTGTTTGATAATATATTCAGTTTAAGCTTTTGTCACCATGATCGATTTCTTCTCGGTATTAATTGTTAGATATCTTCACCAAGGCTCTCGATTGAGATTGGTTTTTGTCGTTATTGGATAAATTGGGTATTTTCAATCTCGATGCTCCAACTTGAGGGGAGTAAAGATAATTATTTTAAAGAATGCTTGCATTAAAATATTTTATTTTAAAATTAGAGTATTTTATTTTTAATGGCTTCGTGTGTGTGTGTGTCCGTGTGTGTGAAAGGTAGATCATATCATGTATAGAATTATTGACATAAGATTAATGTCTTTAATGTTTAAGGATTTTGATTACTTTAATGTTTAGGGATTTTGATTCACATTAGATATATATATATATATATATATATATATATATATATATATATATATATTTTTTTTTCTCTTTTTTTTTTTTTTTAAGAAAAGAACTTATAGTGAAAGTATTTCACATTTTCAATGTTTTCCATTTGTTCTTATCTAATGTAGGTTTCCTAGTTATATGGTATCCGTTTTATAAGCTACAATAACGGACATACTTTTGTGCTTAAAAAGTAATGATGAAAAAGTAATTGATAAGGAAGAGTTGATTCATTCTATTTTGTAGTTGCATTACTAAAAAGATGAGTTTTTTTTTTTTTTTTTGGGATATCCAATAACGGACATACTTTTGAACGCCTTTGGCACACATAACCTCCAATGAAATCATAGAGTACCTCTACCAACTTATCCTCGACCTTGTTGTGCTTTACCACCAAACCTTGGATAAGCCTAGCCACCAAACCTACCACCATACTCACTTAAAGATAGGTTGGCCATAGGAGGAGACTATACCCCTTCTAAAGTATTAGCTCGTGCCATCTTATATCTAGGACAATCGAGTATCAAATGTTCCTATTGATGGTAAAAAAAACATGCTTCTATTCCCCAAGAGCATATATCCGGATGAGTCTTACCACATACCCGATAAAGAAAGTATCTTTTTTTAAAATCCTAATGAACTAAGCGAGATGATCCTTGACTCGTGCTCATTTATGATCCATCATGACCATTCTTTCCAAAAAAATCTTCTTTGAGAGTCTGGAGTAACTCCATATACTTATATCTCGACTAGATCCATTACTACAACCTTGTACCCATCGAATGATAAGACATCGCTCTTGGCCTTCTTTTTTTGATTTTAGTTGCTCTGCTCTCCATTCTTCTCATCTTGAGCTTACAAGCATAATCAACTACGAATAACTCGAAACCTTTGGGGAAATATCAACGTAAAGAGTGGTTCCACTAGTCCATTCACAAACCTTTTCATTCTCTTCGCCTCGGTCGATATTATTTTTAGGGTATATCGACTTAGTTTTGTAAATCTCCTCTCATACTTTATCACTTGTCATATCATAGGTTTGTACTAGCATTTCAAACTCCTTTGCCCTTTCTTCCCTAATACTCCCGGGTAGTTTCTCCTCTAGAAAAGCTTGCTTATTCCCAACACCAATTAAGTTTCATATCCGATTTACAACATTCAATGGCACCTCCTTCAAGCATGAATGCTACTAGTTCAACTTTTCTCTCCTCGGGACATCAAAGCATAACTAGCCTCTTTTCTATCTCATCGATGAAGTGTATTGGATCTTTATCATCCCTTTCACAAGAATAGGTTGGTGGCTTTAATTTTAAGAACTCTACCACATAAGGTTCAAAACCTGCTAATCTCAATCGAGTGCCGGTTGCGGAATTACCTACTTTACCCAATCCCTAATTAGTATACATTAACCCTACCATAGCTCGAAAGGTTTGTTGAATACCCTCATTCATTGTTTCTACAATGTACTACATAGCTCAAAACTTAGTTATGAAGTCAACTAGTGTCATCATATCAAAGTCTACTTCTTTTCTAACTCTAGACCTATCATAAGATTATGAAGGTCTAGATAATACCTCGATCTTGGCACCTCCTCTATGATCACTTGATCTAGTTCTCACCATGGCAGACCTATACAAAATGTAACTTAGTTTAGCACATTTTCAATGAGAAAATTCAAGAAGATAAGAGTAATCAATGCATGATTCATATAATCTTTGTTCCCTCTTTCATTAGGCTTGCTTATACTTAAGAATAAGATAATGATTTTGAGTTTACGAGAAGAAAATAGCAAATCAAATGAGTAAACCCAAGCCAAGGCACATGTAATTTCAAAAGCACGAAGGATAAAACGAAATCAACATAGAAAACCAAATTGAAAGATCACGGCTTGAAAAGTAATTTGAGATGCCTATGCGTGTATTTAGCATAAAAAGTCACACATGCAATAAGGGTAGACATGACTTACGTAGAAAAGTGACATACCTATACATGTTTTTGCCACAAAGAAAAGGACACGAGATAGAAAGATTAAACATGATTTACATAAAAAATTAACATGCTCATGCATATGTTTAGCACGAAGAGAGACATACGGATAGAAAGATCAAACACGGTTTGTTCAAAAAAGTGACATGTTCGTATGCATTTTAGCATAAAGAGAGACATGGACAGAAAGAATAAGCATGGTTTGTGCAACAAAATGGACACCTACATGTCTCACTAATAAGATTGCTATCCAATGAAGGAAGAAAAGCCGGATGGCCGGTAGCTAAGAGACACGGGATGAAGGACAAAAGTGACATGGTTGTGTGTCACCATAAAGTCATCCAAAGAAAAACGAAAAGCCACACGGGTAGTAACTAAGAGATATGTAATAAAAGGAAAAATTGACATGATCGTGTATCAAAATTAAGCAAACCATGTGAGGGATTTTATGTGAAAAAACCCTACTTCTCGCATAAAATTTAAGGCTATAAACATAGAAACTATGGCGAACACTAGCTTATTAATCAATGTAAATCAAGTAAAGAATATGGATTAGAATAAAACATATCCTCTATAGTTATTCTAGACTCTAAAAACCTATACTCTAATAAAAAAATTTGTTACGACCCTAAGAGTGGGCCATGATCGATATGAGAATCGAGGAAACCATGAGGCCCACCTTGATTCAACCAAACCTCAAATATTTATACTATAATTCTCAATCATCAATATCACTTCAAATATTATTTCAATTAACATTATCCTAACTTAATAAAAATTACTTACAACTTCAATACAATTCATAATTTAATACTATCTTTGCATTTCTCAAATCAATATTCATAATTAATCTCTAACACAAAACCCATAAGCTATAATTTTAGAGCTTCCAATAATACAATAAAATCAAACATAAGTTTTAGGAATTACAATTAAATTAGTCACATGATCAATGGCTCGAATTCAAAACAAGCGACCAAAAGGAAGCACTGGAGCAATCTCTTAATATCTTGCAAAACTAAAATAATGAGGGATGAACAATCAACGACTCGGTGAGTAAACATTATATAACACATCTAAATAAGGGAAATAGACTAAGGATGATAACTTAAAGTTTTGACTCAATATGTAATGCTAGTTTCTTCAAAACCAATGCATTTCGTAACACAAAATCATACATCACAAATTTAAATAGTTCAAAACCATTTTATATTAAATCATCGAATCATATATATATATCAAAACACATTTCTAGGCTTTTTTTTTTTACCCATGGGGTGAATAACATATCATTGGATGCAAACAACAAAAGTCACGCCCTTTGTTACTAGGTTTTCACATGTTGGTCGACACAAGGACTAGCACTCTACCTCTCCCGCTAGTTAGAGCCTCATATAATTGAGCTCAAAGGCTATGCCACCCGTAGCTAAGTTCCCAGAGTCTCAAAAACATTTCAAAAATAGCATATACTTATACATAATCCAAAACCAATATTTCAAATACAATGCATGCTCCAAATCGAATCGATGACTTAATCTTATATCAAATAAGCATTTACAAAAAATATAAAGATAATCAAAATAATAATTTAAAATACATTTGTATTCAATTTCATAATCAAGTACCAAATCAAGTAATGCATTTGCTCAAACACATATTCAAATTATTTTTTTATGCGAAATCATTTCAAATGCTCATGGAGTCCACTCTCATCTAAATTCTAATGGATGCATTTAAATCATATTTAAACCAATGATGCATGGTAGAATTATCAAAGAAATTCAAAAGCATAACATGTTATATAATATCTACTCATAGTATAATGAAGAATCAAATAGAGTTAGTATTGTTGAGATGGAGTCACTTGCTCGAGGAATCTAATAACACATAATGATGGAACAACCATCAATATCATATATCAAAGAATAATTCAAAATAATTGAATTATTCTAGAATTAAGAATACAAGATTTACTCATACGAATAGAATTGAGCTAGATTTTATAATCTCTCCAATAATCCCAAACAATTGCCTAGCCATTTCCCATTCTTAATTCAATCCTCTAAACAATAAATTTTCAATTAAATGACCAATTCCATTCTAATTCACTCAATACTTAATCCATTCATCTTCAATTACATTTATATAGCCTAATTCCTCATTTCTCCAAATTTCTTTCAATTAAGACCTAAATTTTAGATTTTTCACTATTCACCATCTTCAACCTCTCAACTACTCAAATTCACTTAATTTTACTTCAAATTCACTTCATAAATCACTTATCTAAAATAATTAAACACCATTCGAGTTAACTAGAATCACTTAATCAAGTTTTTTTTTCCCAAATGGGCCTAAAAAACCCTAAACTTAATCTAATCAATTCTTCAAGCAAACCATAACCTAATCTAATTTCACTTTAATATCATTAACTATAGATTAACATCGCAATTCAATGATCAATTGATAAAAAAAATTACCTTTGACACTTTACTCTTCAATCCCTAATTTCTTCCTAGTTCTCCAAGCTCTCTAAGCTCCAATCTAGCTAAGCTTCACTTAAATCTACTTGTTCAAGGCTTTTCTAAGCTAATTTAACCTAGTCTTAGCTTAGGATTTGAAGGATGAAGATGGGGGAGAATCTGGAAAAAAAAAAAATGGCTTGAGAGAGGAGAGGAGAAGAAGAAAGAAAATTTTGGAAAAAGGGAGTTATGTTGTTCGACAATATATTCGGTCTAAGCTTTTGTCCCCATGATCGATTTCTTTTCGGTATCAAGTGGTAGATATCTTTACCAAAGCTCTCGATCAAAATTGGTTTTTTCTGTTATTGGATAAATTGAGTATTTTCAATCTCTATGCTCCAATTTGAGAGAGTAAAGATAATTATTTTAGAGAATACTGCATTAAAATATTTTATTTTAATGGCTTCATATATATATATATTCTTTTCTCTCTTCTTTTTTTTTTTTTTTTTTTTTTTTTTTTTTTTTTTTAAGAAAAGAACGTATAGTGAAAGTATGTCACGTTTTCAATGTTTGCCATTTTTTCTTGTCTAATGTAGGGTTTCCTAGCTGTATGGTATCTGCGCAATAATTGACATACTTCTGTGCTTAAGAGGTAATGATGAAAAAGTAATTGATAAGGAAGAGTTGATTGATTCTATTCGCTTGTGCAATATTAAAAAGATGAGTATTTTTTGGGATATCCGTTAGGGACTTGGTCCTTGAATTAGATGCTGTAAATTTCAGGTTTAGCATGGAATTGGTGTCTTTTGAATGCTTTAAAAGACATCAGAAAAAGAACGATGGTTACTGCTTACGTAATCAATAATAAACACCCACCCAATCAAATGCTGAACATGAAATTTATTACTATTGAAAACAGGATTAAGAGAAAATAGAACAGAGAAAACAGAGCTCCAAGTCAGATGGTGACAGCATCCATGAACTCTAAATCATTTTCCATAGCTTTTAAAGTCTCAGGCAAAACACAGACTTCAATGTCCACACTGCCTTCTTCAAATCCAGGAAACAAAGTTATCTTCCCATCCAACTTGTTGCCAGGCCCGCTTCGTATTGCAACGGGCCTTCCCCAACCAAAATCAGTTCCATAAATATTGAACCTTGGTGAACTGCTGATAAACAAACAATGAGTAGGTGCAAGTTCGCCCATCGTTCTCGGATTAAGATTCTCTTTCAAAGACTCCAAAGTGCCTTTTACCTTGACTTCAGTGTACGAAGAAACCACCTTGTTAATCTGCAAAGCTACATACCCAAGTTGTTGCTCCTATCTCTCTTGCTTTCAGAGTTACTCCCCTCATACACTAGTGCATTTCCAAAATGTGTTCCTGGTAATGGCGTCTGTAATCGTGTCCTTACACCTACTATTACCTTTAAACCAACCTCTTTGTCAAGATCAATTACTTGTCCATTTCTATTTGTAGATTTCCAAATATGAGCCAAGAGTGACTGAAGAGAGGAGATCGACTTGGTGCCGGATTCGGCATTGGCTTTTGCTTTTAGTCTTGAAAGTTTTTGCTTGGCAATGAAGATGCCATCAACAAGTTCAGTGACTTGAACTGCTAGGAATGGTTTGGAAACACCCTCGTAGTTTAAGACCCCATTTAATGGGAAGAAAGAGTGGACAATTGGAGGAACATACACTGGCTTGAGGATGTTAGCCACGGTTACACCATCGGCCGCAGCATGAACAAATTGGGCTCCTGCATTGTTGCAGTCAATGAAATAGGAGACAGTGCTATCATCATGTTCAACCATGGCTAGTCGACCACCAAGAGGTGTGAAGAAATCTAGAGTGCGAGAAAGTGAGGTTTTCAAGTGTTGGATCAATAAGTTTTGATCTTCTGATGATTTTGGGTTTGAGGAAGAGAAGACCCTTTTGGATGGCACCTAGCAGAAGAAATTGTAGATCACGTTGAGTCAAGTCAAACCTCTCTATTATATTATTTGGTTGTAATCAAATCTTAAAAGATAACGTTCTATCATGAGGTGTTATTTAAATTACAAAAATTATGCATATCAAACTATAAATTTATTTTAAAGAAAAGTAGTATGATCTTATGGTGCTATAAACTTGTAACACGAGAACATAATTTATTACTTTTTATTTGTAAAGTACTAAGTAGCTAGATACATTACAAAAAAGGTTTTTAAATTACAAAAACATTTGTTTAAAAAACAACCCTTATTCCTTTCTACAAATGTTCTTTATGTATTTTAAACTATGTAGAAGGATTGTTAATTTGATATAAAAAGTTAAAAAGACTTATCCTCAAGCCACGTGAGATTTATTTACATAATTCTAGTTAATTTGGATGTTATTTTATATATATAAAAAACAACTTCAAAGATTTGTTTAAAAGTTAAGAACATTATAGATACAATTGAACATATACAAATATGTTGAAAATAAATTCAAAGATCTATTGGGATATTTTTGTTTTTATTAAACAACATAGTTGTTAAGTTACTTAACTAATTATTCATGGAGTTTGTTTTGCATAAAATATTTTAGACGTTAAATGCTTTCCTTTAAAATATTTTGGTCAAATCTCATATGAGCCCCTCAAATATTTACCAATTCTCGGCTAGGTGACCAAATTTTTTTAAAGGAAACCGAGTAGATTTTAAACAAAATAATCAATTTAAAAATTTATGATATTTTTAGGATTCGTATTTGAAAAAACAGTATAGTTGAACACCAAGTACATAGATCATTAATTGGTTTACGAGTTTGGAGATTAATTTGAGCTTTGCCCGAAACAATTTAAATAGAATATATTTGGATCACTTGAAATAACATGGTGGTGCTTGTGTAAGATAACGGTTATATAAGGTCATATCTTTGTATTTTGAATAAAAGTTTCTCATGCTTCAAATATATTGAAATGTGTATCGGTAACTTATTTATACATGATACAAACACTAAGTGAGTGTCATTAATTCAAACTCTAAACTTCTACATGGTATTAGAGTAATAATAGGCTTAATAACCAATAATTCATAATTTTTCCTCTATTCTTCAAAGAAAAAAATGTATGACACGTAAGGCACACAAAGAACCCTTGCTTCAACATCTTCGGTTGTTATTGTTTCCCATCAATGATTACATTCTTTTTCTTCACAAAGTATATATCTCTAATCAAACTTAATTCTAAAAATTTTCTTCTTTGGCAAACATAAATTCTTCCTCTTCTAAGAGGATAAAATCGTATTCATCACATTGATAGAACAAAAGAACCTCCCTCTTCTACCCTTACTAATAATATTCCTAATCTAGCCTATGAGGTTTGGTATTGTTAGGTTCAACTAGTTCTCGATTGGATTGTTTTCTCTTTGTCCGAAACTATCCCGACTCATGTAATTGGTGCAACTACTACCAAAAAAGCATGGCAAAAATTTATTGTTGCCTATGCTTTTGGTTTAGAGACCGAGGTTCATCAACTCAAGACTTAAGTTAGTTGATTTGAATGTGACAATGATGATTTTTCTAACCTACATGTAGAAAATAAAGGCTATTTTTGATCAATTTATTGTTCTTAGAAGTCTCATTTTAGAGGATGATGTGATTGAAGCAATTCTTTTAGGACTTGGCGGGGTGTATAAACTGTTTGTTCGATCTTTAGAGGCTCGTCTTGTTGTCGTCTCCTATGATGACCTCTACGGGCTCCTACTCAATGAGAAGTGATAACTCACTATGGATGCGGTTTCGGTGATATCACTACACCCTTTGCTTAATATTCGGCTCGTGGCGGTAATAATTTTTGTAGTTATGGGTAGAAAGGTCATGGTCAACGAATTGGTAACTCTAATTTTCATAATTTTTCATCCTTTCGTTATTCATCATACTTTGCTCCTACATTTAATTCCGCATCTATAAACACAAACACCGATTACTGTCATAATTGATGGGGGAGAGGTCATTTTGCTCACTAGTGTCCTTCATTAAAACCAAAGCTCAAACATCGCTAAGGTCATCGTTTTAAACCTACCAATCTTTTTGTCTCAACTGGTTCCTCTTTCCATTAATCTTAGATTGCTGATATAGGGGAAAAAGAAAACATCTCACAACAAATATGGATAATTTGTCTCTCTATTCTAAGTACATTGGGTCTAAAGAAGTTATTATTGGCAATGGTAACACTCTTTCAATCTCCTTTACTAATTCTTCTTTTATTTCTCTTAATGATCACATTTATGAGTTGCTAGATATTTTATATGTGCCTACTCGCTTGTCAAAATTTCCTCTCTGTTAACTCTTTTACAAAAGCTAATATAGTATCTATTGAATTCTTTCATGATTATTTTGTTATTATGCATATCCACAAGAAGGAGGCGCTTCACACCGGACAAAATAAGCAAGGTCTATACTTCTTGCCATTACATCGGGTTTCTTCCTCCCTTACTATTGATAACATTATTTTTTTAGCATGCTTGTTTGGGTCATGCATTTATCTAGACTATTCATCAAGTTTTTCAAGTAAATAATATCGGTGTTTCTATTTCGATTCTCCTCCTCTTTTTCATAGCTATAGTATTAGTAAAAGTTCAAAACTATCTTTTTTAAAATCTAAATTTAAGGCACAAACACCTCTTGAGTTAATTTGTTTAGATGTTCGAGGTTCATTCTCTATGGATTCTATAATTAGTTTAAGTATTATGTTTTTTTATTATTATTTAGCAAATATACTTGGATTTATTTTATTAAATACAAGTTTGAAGTACTCAATGCATTTATCAAGTTCATAAATGTAGTTGAAAAAAAAATTTTGGCTTCCAATTAAGTCTTTTCAAGCAAATTAGGGCATCGACACTATAAAAAAACTATTAAATAGTGACTAAAATCAATAATCAACAATAAGTTATTGGTATACAATGATAGATTTAAAAAGGAGTAACGATTGTTATCAATTTTTAGACATTTGGGGTCGATAGCGATGGAATACCGATAAATCACCAACAAAACTTCAACAATGGAACATTTCTATTGTCAAATAATGTGGTAAATTTTTGATAGTTATTTTAGTAATAGATTATCAACTAAATTACAACGGCATTCAACGATAGATTCGATTTCTATCACTAATGTTGGAGCTTTTTTTTCTTCTTATTAAAGATATAATTTTCCATTGCTAAACTTTTATTCTCTTACCAACTATCGATAGAATATTTTCATCGCTAAAAAAAAATCAATTTCGGTGACAAAATTGTTCGTCGTCGATAGGTGAAAAATTGACACAATTTTGAAAATTTCAAACAATGACAAAAATTATTTTCATCGCTTAAAAAATACAATTTAGCAATGGAATAGAGATAAAATCACGTATGTCGTTAATAAAGCTCCTAAATTGAACAAAATTTCCTTATTTCCCTATTTTCTTCTCCCTTCTCCTATCAAAACCCTTACCGCCACCTCCTTCAACCATACTACCCCTCTACACCACCTCATAAATCAATCTCTTTCGTACTCCAATAGTCGCCACTCTAACCATCTCCTTCCCTTAAACAATTATCATCTCCTCCCTCAAAAGAGTCTCCCTTACTACAAGGATCGCCGCCATCGACCCTACCTTCATACTCTAGCAATCGCCGACCACTCTAGTCACTGCGGCCATTTACTCCAACCTCCGTCTCCAAAAAGGTTAAAGTTTTTCAATTTTTATCTTACCTATTAGATTTGTTACCGATATATATATATATATATATATATATATATATATATATATATATATATATATATATATTTGTTAATAAAGAAACTTAAATTTATGTAATTTAAAACTTGATTGAGTACGTTTTTTTATACGGATGGATTTTCTAAATTTTTTTGAATAAGTCTCTTATGTAAATTGGATGTTTCCCAATTACCGAAACTCCATCCGTATGAAAAACTACACATCTAAAATACACAATTTGAGATAGATTTGCTTCATTTTCTTATATTTTAGTGGAAAAGAAAATCTAGATATGATTTTGACTTGGATTTTCTTCTTAGATCATGAGATTTGATAGAGATTTTATGAGAATTCAAGTGTATAAGAATTCAAATGAACATGTAATGATGATAAGAAAGAATTGAAATTTAACTTTAAAAATGGAAAAACTAAACTGGGTTTGCTAAGAATTTGAATTTGGAATATGGGATTTGAAGGATTTTGAAATCGAAACAAAAAAGATTGAAGAAGAGAAGAGATTTGGTGAAAACGAAGGTGTTTCTCTTTTATAAGATTTTACTATAGTAAAAGGAAGAATTGGGAAAAAAATCCATGTGGAATTCTACATGAAATTCATGTCATCTTGTCATCATACCAATCATGCCATGTCATATGAACTCGGAATTTTGAACAAAAACCACCTTTTGTGCTAATATGGTTATCGAAAGCTTAGTTTATGTATTTTCCATCCACTTTTGAAAGAACATAATAAAATAATTAAAAAGTGTTAAATTCATGATTTTATAGTTCAATAAGCCATTTTAAGAAAAAAATGGTAATTAAGTAATTATGTATTGGCTCGAATATATTGAAGAAAAAACTAAAGTGGGTTTACTAAAAATTTGAATTTGGAATATAGGATTTGAAGGATTTTGAAATGCGAAACAAAAAGATGAAGAAGAAAGGAGATTTGGTGAAAACGAAAATGTTTCTCTCTCTTAAGATTTTGCTATAAAAAAAGGAAGAATTGGGAAAAAATCTACATGGAATTCTACATGGAATTTATGTCATGTTTGTCATCATACTAATCATGCCACATCATAT